GAGAAGCAGGTGCAGAGGCAGCATTACAGTGTAATCCCGAGATCGCGATTTACTTTTCCTCCCTGGGTCTGTTGCCTCATCTTTAAAATAAGACTGAAGGACTAAATAGTCTCTAAGGATCTTTTCAGTTCAGCATAGGATTCCATCCACGATCCTGGCATAAGTCATGATAGTTAAGTGCTGAAGATCCAAGACCATAATGAAGTGCCACTCATGGGGTTGGGAAGGTGGGAAATTTTATGCTCCTGTGAGGAATGCCTCTCCTTCCGGAGAGCTTTCCTCCAGGAGGCGCATGGGTGGTGGCAGCAAGTGGGAGTCTCGGATGCACTGTCTGGATTCTGCAGGTGACTCCGGATCTTAATTACCGCGAGTGGCCCCACCGTATCCAACATGGCAGCTCCTATCTAGTGAAACCCCGACGCCCACTTCCGGGTGCCGTACCACTGGCCAGGCTACTTCCGGCAGCGCGATGGCTGGGTTCCCGGGACTTGAACGGAAGTTCCGGCGGGGGCGGCCGAGGGGGAAGAGTGTGTGTCTGTGCGGGAGAAAGAGGAGAATCGCCCGAGAGGTCTTGAGACGCCCAGGGAGTGGAGGTACCCTCGTCCCGGGCCAGCAGGCAGAGGGAGGGCACTGGAGGAGCTCGGACCACCGCGAGGGTCCTGGCGAGTGGGGACGGGGAAACCTCAATTATGAGAGATGGGGGTGGGGAGTGAGATACGAAGAGGCGCTGGCCAGCCTTGAAGACTTTAGGGATAGAAAGGGGTAATAAGTGGGGGTCCGGGTGTGATGAGAAGGACTTAGGGTCGGAAGTAGAAGATCTCATTGTGGGGCGGGGGCTCCCCAGGGTCAAAGGTAGAACGCCCCTTTGTGGGCAGGAGCGAGTCCTGGGTCAGGGTAGAAAATGTCACTATAAGGAAGAGGCGACCCTTGGTCGGAGCAGAAGTTTTCATTATGGGGAGCAGGAGACCCTGGAGTAGGGTGGAAGTTTTTACTGTGGGGAGGGAGACCCCAGTTTGAGGGGGGCACCACTCCGAGAAGGTGGGATCCTGGGTTGAGAGGTGGGAGTAGCCCAGTAGGGAAGGACGGGACTCCCAGCCTTGAGCGAAAGGTGCATTCCCCTGTGGGAGGAGGAACCCCAGGGTCAGAGGTGAGGGATCCCGCTTTGGAGAGATGCACTTGAGGTTAGAGAGGAAAAGTGGTAGCCAGTTGGAAGGGGTGGGTGCCTCAGGGAGCAGTAGGCACTTAGGGACAGGTAGTGGAAGCTTCCGGGGAGTTTGGAGGATGCTAAGGATAGGGAGGAGCTAGCCAGCTGGACATTCTTTTGTGTGTTCGGGAGTCCCAGTGTGTGGTCAAGCTGGGGGACCCATTTGGAGTTAGTGGGCAGCAGCAGATTGCCCCATTCAGAGGGACATGGGGCACCGGGTAAAGGGTGGGTGGTGGACCAGAGTCCTTGTGCCTTCTGGAGACATGGGCAGCCCCCTGGGGCTCTGGGAATGGCTGAGCCAGAAACTGCTGTGAAGGCCGGATGGGGACTGGATGGGAGTGAGGTTGGAGAAAATGTGTGTGTGGGGAGGGGGTAGGGGCTGGAAGCATATCTCCCTGGCATTTTTCTCCCCTTCATTTCTCAGCAGGGCTGGGATTTGGGGAGGAGGGGACCCATGGGCTCTAGAGAAGGGGGATGATTGGAGAGGTGGGAGGAGGCAGCTACCAGCTGAGGACTGTTAGGTGTGGGGAAGGCAGCAGATGATGCCCTGGCTTCCCTCCTCCACAGTTCCTAAGCCCTGCTTCTGTCCATCAACCTCAGGGTGTGTAGTGGCCAAAACCAAGGGTACTAGGGGGTCATCTCTGCTTCTCAGCCCTGGAATGTAGGCAAACTTCCTATCTGCTCTGGCCTGGGACTTCTTGTCTGCCTTCTCTTTGTGCCCAGGACAGAACCCGGGCTGCTGTTCAGGGCTGATGGCCTGGGTGGGCCCTGAGTTTGAGGCTTTCCCCTGTGTCAGGAATCTCTCCTCTACCTGGGCTTGCTCTTGACCGCTCACTTGAATTCGCACAGGCCCCAGCCTGGAGCCCTGCAGTGTATGTGTGGTAACACCATGTCTGTGCCCCTGCTCACTGATGCTGCCACTGTGTCTGGAGCTGAGCGGGAAACGGCTGCGGTAAGGGTCTGCTCCTAGCTGGAGGAGGCGTGGGAAAAATGGAGGCGGTAGTGATGAGAAGGGAGTAGCTTGAAGCCAGGAGGCAGAGCATTAATAACCTCTTTGGCTGCTACCTCAGTTGCTCCCAGGTCCTTGGGGGTGGGGGAGGAGTGGCCAGAAGTTGGAGGACAGTGAGGAATGATAACAAGATGACTGGCCTCTTCCCCATCTCTGATCCTTTTCCAGGTTATTTTTTTACATGGACTTGGAGATACAGGGTGAGTAAGCTGGGGAGGTGTCTCCCCTGGGGAGGTGGGGAAGGGCCCAGTGGGCAGGGTTGGAGACGCCTGTGCCTTGCCTTTCTTCTCTGCATTGTTGCCTTTTCTTCCTTCTCTTTTACAGGCACAGCTGGGCTGACGCCCTTTCCACCATCCGGCTCCCTCACGTCAAGTACATCTGTCCCCATGCGTGAGTGTTACCCTAGCAAGGGAGGGGCTGAGGATGGCATCTGCTGGGGGGGGTGGTCCTCTGGTCTTAGGTCTGGTCTCTTTTGCCAGCTGCATCCTGGGGCCTGGGCCCCGGGCAGTCAGAAGTACCATTTTCAGCCTTCACTCTTATGGAGCCTCTAGGAATAGTGTCCAGCCCCAGCCTAAGGCCTCCTAGACCTGAGACCTCCAAGAGCCAGGACCCCCTTTTCCCATTCCCCAAGTACTCACCTACCAAGCTGGAACCCCGTCATGTTGGGTGCTGCGCTCTGCTTCTCCATTGCTATTGCTGATGCCCCAACCACCACTTGCAGCCCCACGTGGCAGGTTGCCTGGCAACACCTTAAACACAGGCCCTGCCTGCTGGGAGGGGCCCCCAGGGACTGCTCTGCCCCCTCCTGGGCTCACTGCTATGACTTCCCTATCCCTCCGGAAAATGATGATCCTTCTTGCTGTTCTTCCCCAGGCCTCGGATCCCTGTGACACTCAACATGAAGATGGTGATGCCCTCCTGGTAAGTTTGGGGACGGGGGAAAATGGGAGCTGAGAGAGCTATAGGCGGCTAGCCAAGGTCTTCCAGTAGCTGCCAGTGTCTCTGCTTTCCCAGGTTTGACCTGATGGGGCTGAGTCCAGATGCCCCAGAGGACGAGGCTGGCATTAAGAAGGCAGCAGAGAACAGTAAGGCCCCAGCCCCTCTTGAGCATCCTCCCTCCTCCTCCTCCTCCACCCCTGCCCCCAGGAAAGTGTTGGGCAGTACCTCTGTCTGGCTCCCTTCCCTGGGCCCCTCCAGCAATTTTCTCCCTACCCAGTCACACCCCCTCCCCCCAGTAAAGGCCTTGATTGAGCACGAGATGAAGAATGGGATCCCTGCCAATCGTATCGTCCTGGGAGGCTTTTCACAGGTGAGGGGAGAGAGAGGGTGGTGGGTGGAAGGTAGGTAAGCAGGTGAGCTGTGCCCTCATGAGTCCTCATTCTCTCCTCCCTCCAGGGTGGGGCCTTGTCCCTTTACACGGCCCTTACCTGCCCCCACCCTCTGGCTGGCATTGTGGCATTGAGCTGTTGGCTGCCTCTGCACCGGGCATTCCCCCAGGTGAGTGTCTCCATAACCCCCCTCTTGCCCTTCGAGTCTCCTTGTAGCTTTGGGATTGTGCTGAAGCACTGGCTTTGCCCTCTGAGTTCTGTCTGGCCCACAGGCAGCCAACGGCAGTGCCAAGGACCTGGCCATTCTTCAGTGCCATGGGGAGCTAGACCCCATGGTTCCCGTACGGTTTGGGGCCCTTACAGCTGAGAAGCTCCGGTCCGTTGTCACACCCGCCAGGGTCCAGTTCAAGACTTACCCAGGTGTCATGCACAGCTCCTGTCCTCAGGTCAGTGGTGAGGGGTCACTTCCTGCTTCTACCTCACTCCCTCCTCCCTCCAGCCAGGATCCTCTCACAATCCCCTCTTCTTCCCAGGAGATGGCAGCTGTGAAGGAGTTTCTTGAGAAGCTGCTGCCTCCTGTCTAACCAGAGTTGCTGGCCCCCAGCGCAGTCCCCCAGCTCATAGGGGACCCAGCACATGTGGCACCATCTTGGATCTGAGCCGGTCGAGCCCCTGTCCCTACCCTCCCTGACCTGTCCTCTTCTCATAAGCCTCTGGGGCAGGCGGGCCAAGGCCTAGACAGGCCTGCCTTCTTGGCCTCAGCCACCTGGCTGTCTTCAGCAGGGTGTGGGCTGCTTTCTTCTCCCATTTCCCTGGAGGTGGGCCCCCCTGGCAGCAGTATTGGAGGGGCTGTAGGCAGCGGGAGAAGGGGCCCAGCCGCTGACCCACTCACTCAGGACCTCATTCACTAGCCCCGCTTTGGGCCCCCTCCTGTGACCTCAGGGTTTGGCCCAGGGGGCCCTCCCAGGCCCCACCTACCCCCAGACCCCCCCACCTGATTCTGCCCAGATAATCGTGTGTCACTTCTGCCTCCACTCTAGCTGCTTCTCAATCATGAATGTGTCTGTGACCCCCCAGCCCCCTTGCTGCTGTGGGCTACCTGCCCCTGGGCAGAAGTGTTGGTGAGGGGGCGGAGTCCTTGGTGGGGGGCCTTCCTTCAACCCTTTCCGACTTGGGGGCTGGGCCCTTCCTCCCCATTACCTTCCTCCCCTACAGGCCTGGAGCCTGCAGGGCTGGACTGAGGCTCAAGGTCTCCCCCAGCTGTCTCATCCTCACGTCCCCTTCTAGGATCAGGGGAAAGTGGGGAGGAGTTGTGTCTCGTCTTCTGTCTCCATGTGGTTTTGGGTGTTTTTCTTGTCGTGTCCTGGATTCCGATAAAATTAAAGAAATTGCTTCAACTCTCAGGCCTGGCTGATTCTATTCCAGGGGTAGAGAGTGACCATATGTGAGAATCTTCTCTAGTGTAAGAAAACTTTTTATTTTAAATACTTTGGAGAGTGTATTCATAGCAGTATAAATTAGTGCCGGGGGAGGGTGTTTTTCTTAGGTCCCTGCCTCCCCCACTCGCTCTTGGTGATCCTGATGGCTTCCTGGACTCTGGAAGAGAAGAATTAGAGACCCCGAACTCCTGGTCAGTGGAGCCCTTGGCCTCATGCCTGGTAGGCTGAGTGAGCTGGCTGGTGTCTGAGGTAGGGCAGGCTCTGAGGCCCCTGGGTTCCTGTCAGATGCTGGAGAGCAGGAAATTGTTTCTCTTCCTTTTCTGGTCCATGGTAGGAGAGAATCTCAGGCCTGTGCACCAAAGCCTGAAGGATTCTGCTTCTGCCAGCGCCATAGATCTTCACCTGCGATGGGGCAAGGTGTGTGGTCGGGGTCCACATTGGAATGCAGGGCCCCCACCACTTCAGGTAGCCCAGGGTAGGTATACCCAGACCAGATCAGCCCCCTCCTAGCATTCTCCCAGGGGTTAGGCTAGCACTCACACATCCTATCCAGCCCTAAGGCTGCTGTCCAGCCCAGCTCCTGGAGGGCCAGGCTGGGGTTGGCGTAACAGGCAGCCACATCGCCTTCCCGTCGTGCCACTACCTTGTACGGGATCTGCAAGAGAGGGGGCAGTTGTAGCTTAGCTGTCTCACCCAGCCACCTGCTGACCAGGCCCTCAGGAAAGAGAGGTGCAGCGAAGGAGCTCTCTCCTAGCTCACAGGAACCTAGCACTAAGGCAGAGTAGGCAGGGCAGCGCCCATCAGGTAGACTAGTGGGACGGGCCAGGTATGCTGCTGAGAGTCAGGGCAGGGACGGGTGGATGGCCTACCTTCCTCCCAGAGGCCTTCTCCATAGCCCGGACCATCTGTAGCACCGAATAGCCCGTGCCTGTGCCCAGGTTATAGATCTGCCCAGGAGAGAACAGGGACTGTGGAAGGGGATGGACTAACCACCCCTCTGGGCCCCATCTGTCCAGGGCTCCACCTCCCTCCCCTCGCTTCTCCTTTCACTACCCGGCAGCCACACTGCTCCTTCAGTTTCCTCAAGGCCGCGATGTGGCCCTTGGCTAGATCCACCACATGGATATAATCCCGGACACCTGCAGAAGAGGTGGTTGCGTGGGACAGTTCAGTACAGTCCTACTTCTTAACTGTCACTCCTGGATCCTCCTGGTCCTGAGCTCACCTGTGCCATCCTCTGTGTCATAGTCATTGCCAAAGACATTCAGCGCCTCCCGTCGCCCAATCGCCACCTGGAGTAGAGGTCAAGTTAGCTCCTTCCAGGCCCTCGGCACTAGCTATACCCCTCAACCCTAGGGCCACCCTGTCTTTCCCCTTCTTCCTTACTTGGGAGACATAGGGCATGAGGTTGTTAGGGATGCCCTGGGGATCCTCGCCGATGCAGCCAGAGGCATGGGCGCCTGTGGGGTTGAAATATCGCAGCAGCACTGCATTCCAGGCCTGTGGGACACAGGTCAGATGATGGGGCGCGAGGGTGCAGGCTGTGTGTCCCAGCTCGATCCAGAGCCCTTTACCTCCCATGACTCCCCATGCCTGTTCTCTATCCCTAAAAAGGACCAGGGGATCAGACCCTCCCCAGTGCCGTGACCTTGGATAGTCAGTGCCACTTCCTGAGCCCTAGCTTCCTTCTTGGTGAAGGTTGCTCAGGATCCCATCCTCAGGCACAGAGGGGCAGAGCCAGGGCTGGGTCAAGAAGAGCCCTCACCTTGTCTGCCTGGCACAGGTCCCGGATCATTTCCTCAATGAAGAACTTGGACTTGCCATAGGGGTTGGTACAGCCACCCGTTGGGTGGGCCTCGTCCAGGGGCAGGTACTGGGGGTTGCCATACACAGTTGCCGAGCTGCTGAATACCAGATTCTTCACCCCGTGGGCCCTCATGATCTGGCCGTGGAGGGGAGGCGTCAGTTGCTTCTGCCTCACACGTTATTCCCACCCCCTCACTCCTTCACAGGCAGGTGGGGCTGAGGTATGGGCACTCCCATTTACAGATGGGGAGGCAGGCTGAGAGGTAAAGAAAGACATGTGTCCAAGATGATACAGCTTGGGACCTGCCTGACTGCCCACTGTTTGGTACTGCCCTCCCAGTGTCTGTGTCCTTGACCCATGTCTCACCTCCAGAAGCTGGATGGTTCCTGTCAGATTAACTCTGTAATAATCCAGAGGCTTCTGCACTGACTCGCCCACGGCTTTGAGCCCCGCAAAGTGAATGACAGCCATAAAGCTGTGCTGCAGGGCCAAAGCCAGGGTCAGAAGTTGCTTTACAGATTCTGGCCCTCGGCAGTGTCCCCTGCCTGCCAAGCCCCACCTTCTTGAAGAGACGCTCCAGGGCTGCCTGGTCCAAGATGTCCATCTCCTCAAACTCCAAAGAGCGGCCTGTCAGCTCCTGAACCCGCCGCAGGCTCTCAGGCATGGAGCCCCCTCCTGGTTGGGCACATGAAGGCCATGAAAATCAGAGAAGATGGGGTGCTCAGTTCCCACAGGACTAGCCAGACACACACCCCTCAGAGGGAGAGGTGGAATCCAGAGTTTTACCTCCATCCCCTGCAGAAGCCCCAGCCCCTGGCACCCCACACTCACCACGGATGGCATTGTGGAAGTTGTCGATGACCACGGGCAAATAGCCTGCCTCCAGCAGCTCGAGCACCGTGTGGCTGCCAATGTAGCCAGCCCCGCCTGTTACCAGCACCTTCTCTGCCATCGCACCTGGCCCAGGACACGGAGTGTCAGAGGTGGCTGAGGCTGCTCACTCAGGGCATCCATCCAGTTGGATTCTGACCTCGGAGGGAGGCAGTAGTGTGTCCTGTTTGATAGGGTGGCTCTGGAGGCAGCCCTGGTCCAAGTCTGGATACTGTAACTTTTTGGTCTTAGGCCTTAGAGATAGATTACTTATCTTCTCTTGGCCTCAGTTTTTATCTCTATAAGATGGAACTTATAATTGTACAAATACCACGTGGTAGTGTAAGGGTTAAATGAGGTGATATTTTAAAGGCCTGCCACATGGTCAATGTGGGAAGACTGTGGCACAGGTGCCATATTTTCTAATCCCAACTGACCCGAGGTTGGGAAGATGGAACCTAAGCTTCCACTCTGCCGTCCCCAAGGTGTCTAGAAACTGATAGTTCTGGGCAGAAGCAAACATGGCAGCAGAACTGGGACTACATGAGCTCAGGAAGGGGTTCTGTCTGCTCGCACTCAGGCCTTTCCAGTCTCTGCCATCCCTAGGTGTAAACTGGTTCCTGGGCTCAGTATAATACCTCCTGATATACCCAGCCCCCTGACTCCCTCTCCCTCAAAGGTCAGCTGGGAGAAAGCAAGAAATGTACTAGATGGCCTCAGGGTAGGGTCCTTTGCCAGGCAGGCTGAACCCAACTCTGGGGCTGCAGCACTGCAGTCCTGGAATGCCCTCCCCCGCCCCCCCCCAGGTCAGCAAGGCTGGTTCAGCCTCTGCCTATGCCAGGACCAGCCAGATAACTTCTCTGCTTGAAACTAAGGATCCCGCCCCACTCCAGCACTGAGCTGGCCGGTGTAGACGTGGCATTGGCTCTGACTCAGCTGCAAGGTGTGCACCCCGCCCTGAACAAACTCTGCGGGCAGAGGGGGCGGAAGCCCCAGACACTGAGGCCTTTCATTCGGGGCAGCCTGGCCCGCAGCCCCCTTCCTCCAGGCTGCCTCGGTCCCCTCCTGGGCTCATCCAGCTCCAACCAATTTGGCTGAGCGCCCGCAGTGTGCCAGGCTCTGTACCAGACACTTCTGCATTATTTTCTTGAATTCCTCCCACATCCTAATGAGGCAGATAGCACTGTCACTTTACAGACTAGGACACTAAGGTCAGAGAGGTGAAGTAATGGGCCACACAGCTATTGACAGCTGGGCTGGAATCGATTTTGCAGGTGAGTCCGTCACCCAAGTTCTCCCTTTCCCCCACTGCTTCCGGTTTGACTCTGTTCCGGACGCCGAAGCTGCCCCCACCCCCACCCCGCCGAGGTCCACTTACTGTGCGGATCCCCAGAAAGTGGTCGCGGAGGGTGCTCTGGGAGGCAGGAAGGTTGGTGAAACAGCCTCGCCCCGGACCGGCAGGGCGACCTAGGTCAGCTGTCGCCTCCTCAGTTTCCCCAGTCTGCATAACGGAAGGGAAGGGGCGCTGGGTCTCCCGCGGGGATTAGTGCTATGGCTCGGAGTGGGGCGCGCGAGGAATCCCTAGGCCAGGAATGAATGAACCCAGGCCGCCCCAGCCTCTGTCTGCAGCGGGAGCCGGGAGCAGCGCAAACTGGAAGCAGCGGGGACGGGCCTGCCTGGCAGGACTCTGCCCAGGATGCCGCCCGGACCCCAAAGCTCTCCCTTGCTCCCCGTGGACCACCCGGCCACTCGCGAGCCCGCCCGGCCCCATATTTTCCTTCAGAACCTGCTTGGGACCAGGTGTCCTGCGCTGCCTCCAGAGGAGCCGCCTCTTGTGCTTCGAGCCCAGGTCCCTTTAGGGGCCTGCGGCCCACCTGGTCCCGCCCCCTTCACGCCCCCAGGTAACGTGTCACTCGCCAGGCGGCACTACGGGGCGCCGGGAGGACAAACGGCGCTGCGGCTTCAAGGCGCCTGCGCAGCGAGCTCCCGTACTGGTCTGCAGCCTGCCGCACGGTCCAGTGCCGGAGCGGTCGGCGGAGGGAAGGCGCGACCGGGCCCGGGAGCCGAGCGTGCCCAGATCCCCGCGCCAGGCGCGAGTTTTCGTCCCGACCCCTAGAAACAGGCGTCCCGGGGCAGGCGGAGGGCAGAGCGCAGGTAGATGGGGTTCGTCGGGGGCGCCGGGCAGCTGTCCTGGGGCAGGGCCCACGAACCTGGCTCCTCGGTCACCCGTAGGTTTCCCAATGTTTTTGTATTTGCCAAACCCTTTCTTCAGTGAGCCTTACATGAAATACACGTCTGCGTGGAACGAAAGCAGTAGGAGGCGGCGCTGATTGAAGGGGATGGTGGGGAAGTCGCCCAGAGGGAAGTCGCCCAGAGGCTGCGGGTTCTGGGAAGTCTAGTTTGAAAACCTACCAGAGCTGGAAGGAGCTCTGAAGCTAAAGTGGGAATTACATTGCTAATTGAATTCAGCCTTCACACAAACCGTGGCGCCCAGCGGGAATGGTTTGTCTGCACCCTGCCTACCATACTGGGTTAGAAAAACGGTATTATGTTTCTGTTTAAAAATTAAGGTAGGGCTAAGGAGTGATGTGTATAGAGGCATGACATACCAACTGATGAAACCCGGGCAAAGAAATAAACGCACAAGTGTTTCCCAAAGCTTGGAATGCCCTGGGCCTGCCCGAGTCCAGCAAGGACGAGTGACAGCTGCGGAGCTTGATACACAAAGAGCTCAGGCCGACCAGATAAGCGCTGCTGCCTTCAGGCGACCTTGTACAACAGCCCCGGTCACAGAGCCAAGAGCCTCAGAAACAGTTTCTCCAAGGTATTCTGGCCAGCCCTGAGTTAAGCTCAAAGCCACCAATTTCCAGTCGCTATGAATTTGGGGCTCAGGGTGGGGAAACGGAGAAAATCCAGAGATTAATAGTCTGCATTTTCCTCTCAGTGCAAATAAAGATGTTTTATTCCCCCACTCATATGTACACACATCTGCACGGAACACTGGAATGGTTTTATCTCATTTAACTTTTAATTACATAGCTGTTTTCAGAAATCATGTTCCGAGTGGAGATTTTTCAGAGGTGCTGGAGTTGGCAGGTGGCCACTCACCCTTCATTCAGAGGCATTTACTGAAGCTCAGCCCTCACCCTTTCAGCGATGTCCTCTGCCAGCTTGGGGAAAACACTCCCCATGCCCCTTTGCCCTACAAATCAGAGAGCAATGGCCCCAAGGCCATAGGGTTGAACTGTAGAGAGTGGCCAGCTACAGATTTCAGCCAGAGATGAGATTTGAAGATCAACGCGAGCCTGGGAATTGGGTTCCCAAATGCCCTAAGGGATTCAACTCCTGGACTGCTGGGTCCATGGTGAAGGGAGGCCTCCAAGCACCCAAAGCCTCTCACTCATGCTCAGGTCTGGCAGGGAGGGCCTGAGGCCAAGCGACTTCTAACCCTTGCCTCCTTTCTCCCCGGAGAGACCTATGTGCAGAGCTGGCAGCGAGGTGACTGGTCCCGTTAATTTCATTCCCATTTCCAGGTGTCCATCTGTGAATCATCCATGCACGGCCCTATTCCCACGTAGTGCCCAGAGCTTCAGGTGGGCAAGGGCTCACAGTTTATAGGTAGCCTGAGCCACTTTGGAGCCAGTTTTTCTGTTAAGGGCTTGACAGATAAAGGTCCCAGCTTCCAGGAGCTTCTGAAGATTCACACCCTTTGAGAAACAAGTCAAAGGAGGCAGTAAGTCATGACATGCCCTCAACACTCAGGGAAACATCGGACTGCACAGACAACTATGATACTGAAAAAGTAAAGGTGAAGACAAACGGACTCTTGTTCCTCTGACGATGGGACACCAACTAGCTGCCTGGGAGGCTGTGTCCTTCTGGCATCTGGGGTTCCCTCTCTGGCTCCCCTTGCATAAGATGGCTTAATCTGTGTAATGGTTTGTAGTGCCACCATCAGAATAGGGATCTTGTCAGTTTTGTTCAGGACTCCATTTCCAGGGCCTAGCGCAAGGCCTAGCACAGGGCCTGGCCCACAGTGGTCAAAAACTGCATACTGAAGTAGTAAGAACTGTGAGGCAGAGAGAATAAAAACACCATCTAAAAGGGCCAAACCCGAAAACCTCTGTTCATAACAATAGCTTCTATTTGCTGATGTGTACTATGTGCTCAGCTGTGGGCTAAGCAGTCTACATTTTCATAACCGCCCTATAAGAGAGGTGCTACTATTATTCCCACTTCTTAGGCCCATAGAGATGAAGTTATTTGTCAGGTCACACAGCCCATGAGTGGCAGCACTAGGTTTTAATCAACAGTTCCGTCTGATCCCAAAGCACAGATGCCATATTGCTTCCAATCTACGCTGAGGGCTCTGACTGACAGAGCCCCAGGGGGCTAATTCTACTGCTCTCACTTGACAGAGGACAAAACAAAGGTTCAGGGGGAACTGACTCATGCACCTGAGCCCCTTCCAGGAGCTTTCCTTACATCTGGTGCCTCCTCAAACTCACACTGAGAGCCTGGCCTTCTTGGTCTCCGTCAACCACACCCTGTGATCTCGAAAACATACGATAATCCCCTGCCACCTTTCCCCTCTTAACTGCCCCCCAAACAACAAACCCATCAGCTTCTGTCTCTGGTTTCAGGCAGAGCTCTGGCCAGCTTAGGGCTGTCACCACAGGGGGGCAGGCAGGCTTACCGTGTGAATGCCCAAGCCAGTTAGCATGTACACCAGGTCCTCAGTGGCCAAGTTTCCCGATGCTCCCCGTGCAT